GCCGGAGCCCCGACGCAGCTAACGCGGAGCACTTGTTGGACTGGCATCGAAAGGACGTGTGCGCACGGAGCGAGCCTTCCCTGCGGCGGAGCGCGGGAACTTTCTCCCCCCCGCCCCCGCTGCAGGAGTTGTGTGCGCTGCGGCGGTGCAGAGAGAAAAGCACAGAAGGCAGCAGGCTCTGGAGAGCAGGTAAGAGACGGAGCCTTGTGGGCAGGCGAGCAGGCTCGTTTTTTGGAAATTGCTGAAAAGGTTTGTTCGGTGTGTGGCAGGCGTTAGGGAAATGGCACGCTCGTTTGCTCATTTTGCCCACACAAGTGTTAGTGTGGCGTGTGAGTGTGGGAGCGAGCCTACCCTGCGGCGTTAAGCGGAAAAAAGCTCTAGTGTTTGTTCGGTGTGTGGGAAGCGCATTTCTTGACTGTCGAGTTTTGTTTAGGCACATGAGACGTCCTGGGATTTTTAAGGAGCCGACCAGGCAGTGCTGGAAAGGACTTTCGGCCTTGTACAGGGACTAAAACTTTCTTTGCGCAAATCCATCCCCATCTCTCACTCACAGTGATTGATAATGGACAATCACCTCATTTGGAAAGTGTTTATTGCATGTTCGTTTCATACCTTGCTAGAATGTATGCCGAGTGCGGCACGTTTTCTGTTGTGAGCCCTTTTTTTTTGGAAATAGTTTATTTTGATAGAAAAAAAAATTACAATGGGAGTGAAAGTTTTTTTTTTCTTAATAAAGTTTATTGTGATAGAAGAATATTCTCAACGGGAGTGCCCTTCACGGAGGATCAGAAGGTCGGGTGAACAGGGGAATGGTCCCAGGTGGGAAGAGAGCCAGCAGGGGCAGGAAAAAGGGGAGCCAGAGGTGAAAGGTCAAGGGAGCACAGGAACAGTCAAGTCAGAGTGCACCACTACAGTACATTTCAAAGTATAGTACATTATATTTCACATTTCAGCATCAGACTATCCCTGTGACTTCTGTGGTGTAACTGGCAAACACAGCCACACTCTGTGTGGAATATCCAGGTTCGAACCCTGGCAGAAGTTCAAGCTGCTTTAAAAAAAAATGGTGCTGGTGCCTTGTCAAAGTATTTGGTTTTAACAAGTTGTTGCTTTAAGGTTTGGAGCCGAGGCGCTTTCAAGTAAAAATTAATTTGAGCGACCTACTCCACACATTCAAATTGACAAACAGCACTCGACAGAAGGAAGAAATAAAGTCGCTTCTGGCCCTATGGAGGCTTATTGCTGCCATCCAGGAAAAAATGTTTGACGTGCATCTTGTAATTACAGAGAAAGATCAACCCAGCCATGAGGTCTCTTCAGCACACAGGCACAAGGAGCTGGAGCAGAGGGTACAGAGAGGACTGGGAGAGCAGGAACTCTACAGGGAGCTGTGGAGGAAGGCTCCAGCTTTGTCTTCCTCCTCCCCCTCTTCCTGACTTTTGACTCAGAAAAATCAAGATGGGAGGGGGCATCAGGCCCCAGAATGGCTTGAACAGCCTGGAGAGTGGAGAAGGTGCCCAACAATCGCCGCAAGACACCAGAAAGGTTCCTGAAACTCTACAGGGAAGGCTTGCTCCGTGCGCACACGTCCCTTCAATTCCAATTCAACAAGTGCTCCGCATTAGCAGCGTCGGGGCTCCGGCGTGTCGCACTGCCCCCTCCTTGAATGTCTGGTGCTGGGCATACCCCGCTCTCCTCCACCCCAGATGCACCTGCATCTATCCAGCAGTCATATCACTCTGCAGCTCACAACTAGCAGCCAACTGAAGCTCAGCAGGTGTGAGCCTGGTCAGTACCTGGATAGGAGACCTCCTGGGCAAAACAAAGGTTCCTTCTGGAAGAGGTGTTAGTGGGGCCAGCAGGGGGCGCTCACCCTGCGGTCTGTGTGGGTCCTAATGCCCCAGTATAGTGACGAGGACACTATACTGTAAACATGCGCCGTTCTTCGGATGAGATGTAAAAGCAAGGTCTTGACTCTTTGTGGTCATTAAAAATCCCAGGGCATCTCTCAAAAAGAGTAGGGATGTTACCCACGGTGTCCTGGCTGAATTTCCCATCGGCCCTTACCAATCATGGCCTCCTTATAATCCCCCTCTATGAATTGGCTACATTACTCTGCTCTCCTCCCCACTGATATCTGATGTGTGGTGAGCGTTCTGGCGCACTATGGCTGCCGTCGCATCATCCAGGTGGGGCTGCACATTGGTGGTGGTTGAGGGGAGTCCCCATTACCTGTAAAGAGCTTAGAGTGGAGTGTCCAGAAAAGCGCTATATGAGTGTAAGCAATTAATATTATTCAATGAAATCTGTGCTAAACCTTTAATAAATGTTAGTTTAAATCACAACTTATGAGGAAACATCTGTAAATGTAGAAGGTTCAATGGTGTCAAAATGACGATTGACTTTCCCTCTGCAAGATGGGTGTTCAATATTGGTCCTAGAGGGGGGACTGTAGGATGTCTAGGTCTCTTTAAATCAGCACCACCTGAAGAGCTGGAATACACTATAAAAGTGGTTTAGGTAATCCAAGAGGATTTGCTTAGAATGAAAACCTGCAGATACACTGGCCCTCCAGGACTGAACACCCATAATCTGTGTGCTGTACAGAGAGGGCGTTTGTATACCCAGGGAACAGAACTGCATGGCATTGCAGAACTCGTTTGTTTTTCATTGAAGGCTGCATTGTGAAGCGTTTCTCCAGTGCTGCCCTCACTCCACCTCCCCAACTGCATCAGCTCAAGCAGACACCTGGCCGTAACGATCAGAAATATACAGCAGTGCTATGACTGTTTTCATAAAACCAAACATCTTCAGAAAACAATTTGCATTATTGTACATTTTACACTGAGTATGGAAGGGTATTTAAAAATGGTAGAAAAATCTGAGCTCTTGTCACAGTGCAGCAACACACTTTAGAGAAAAAAATCCTTTGAACAAAGCCTCCCACACATCTCTCCAGTTTATAGTGATACTAAGTGAACAAGCTTGTTTTCCATACAAACGGAAAGATGATGTTGGCCAAAAGCAGCAAGTTAGGACAGGGGTTCCCCTTCCTGGTTCTGTAGACCCACACACCTGGTTCTTGCAGTGCAATACAGACACACTCCCTGTGGAGTATTCAAAACCCTCAGTCTCAGTTAACACTGAACTTCTTCAGAAATAGCAGTGAACCTGAAGAGGAAACTGTGGATGTGCTTCTAGAACTCAAGATAAGGGGGAACTCAGTTCCTCTCAGTAGTCTGGCTTCTTTCAGGGCACGGCTGGAGAAGACCCCAGATCAATTATCTACTACCTTTCTATTTGTTCTCGTCTATTGAGCTGCAAGTCTTTTTAGAAGCTGCTGATAGAACTCACATGGGAGAAATGATGTGCAACTCATTGCACATGATTTAAATATGGTGAGAAAAAAAGCTCATTTTTAACTTTAAACAGTGTGAGGACACTCACTTTTGGGTCTACCTGTAATCGACCAAAAGTAGATTTTTTTTTCCCCCTGCAGGTTAATTTGTGAATGGGAATAAGTGATTTAAACATTTACTCAGATGTTTTAATGACTCTAGACATTTTAGCTGTGGACAAGATTTGAGAGACACTTTAAAAGGTAAGGGGGCTCTGTAGCATGCTGTATGCTGGAGTCAGGACTGTGTGGGTGTTCAGACATACATCACAAGACCCCTGACAGAAGAGGACATGTGGAAAGGCCCAGATTCAGGTTTTATTCGATCTAATTAAGAGCTCCTTTCGGACAGCCTGGTACATTCAAAAAGTCAAAAAGATCACTGTTAAGCCCAATGAGTTCTTCGGCTTCTATCGTAGCATAAATGAGAACCATGTGGGACACAATAACTGCTATGCTTCTTAAAACCAGCCTTTTTTTAAAAAGCCCTTAAAACACTAAATGTTCATTTTCTTGTGGTCAATCTTGAGATCATGTTGTGGGAACCCAAAAGGTTTACAAGAATGTATTTTATACATGTACTATTCACGTTCACCAAGTTTGAGACAGAAGGGATTTTGCTCCTCCATAAATATAACCATTTGAAGAGCTCTATATTCTGGTGAAGCAGTAGCATTTCATAATGCAAGATTTTTAAATTGTGTAATATCGTACTATACTTACTCAATTACATTCTTTATCCCTTTTGGTCTTAAGTCTATCCTATGCAACATTTCATAAGAACCTGCAGGGAAGTAGCTTAGTGAACTCTTCAGTGAATACCCAAAGTGCATGGTCATCTACATACAAATATAAAATTGACACTTTTCTTTATATGCTCTCGCAGCTTCGAATCATCAATCCTTAACTTGTCTTGCTGCCACAACCCCTGTAATAGATCAGGACAGAGCAGGGGTTGTCCATCCTGCTGGGGACACCCACACCTGCTGGTTTTCACTGGAACTGAGCTCTTTACTTAAATCCTAAATCAAAGCCACAGGTTGCTGGGTTAGAACCTTTTTTCCCCGTTTTTCTCTTCTACTCATAGGTTGGAGATTTGAAACAACTTAAAACAAAAATAGTTAAAAAGCCAACCTTGTATATGGAAAACAATCCAAGAGTTCATACTCAAACTACCATCGGATCCATCCATCCTTTTAACCTCTTTCTCATGTCATGGGGGAGCCGGAGCCTATCCCAGCAAGCTATCCTAGCGGCAGAAGGCAAGGTACATCCTGGGTGGGACGCCAGTCAAACTCACTCACACCAGGCCTAATCTTCCCAGAAAACAATGAACCTAACAGTATGTTTTTGGACCGTGGGAAGAAACCCCCTCTCTCGGACAGCACATACGACCTCCACACAGACAGCACCCCAGGGCCAAGACCAAACCCCGGGCCCCAGTGCTGTGAAGTAGCAACGCCAATCATCGCGTCGCCATGCCACCCCATTTTTATCCTCATCCTCCTGCGACTAGCTACACCACAATCTGAACCACCGATAAAGAATCAGATCAAGCGGAGGACGTAAAAAAACTCCATGCAGCTATCGGATCTCTCTTAGAGTTCCATTGTGTAACCGAACACACGGGTGCAACGAAAACCAGCAGGTCTGTGGATCCCCGGGACTTGGCCGGGGAACAACCCGCCTTTCGGCCACACTGGCGGCTGTCAGTCCGTTCATCATTCCCTTCCGGGTGCCAGAGGCACTCTGGAAGGAGCACAGCGCTCCCGGCACACGACACAGAAAGCTCAAGGACGCCCCCACTAGAGCCAGGGATCGCTGTGGTGCAGCAGGGCAGGGATTCTCTGGCTTCCTGAAGCCCAATCAATGCACAGGGGCCCTTTGCCAGCTGTGTGCCACTGAATGGGTGATGACAAATGGCGGCTGCTTCAGCCAGAGGTGTGTGCGCTACAGGCGGTGCCCCACCGAGTTACTCAGAAACCCCTGGAAGTCTTCTTCCCCGAAATGCTGCTGTATTACAAAAGACAAACAAAATGCCATCGTTGGAGATCTGTGAACCATACAAGGGGGGGGTCCTGCTTTCAGCACGACATCAGGACGTTTATTATTGTTTTTTATAAAACAGCAGCATGACATGTTGCACACAGCACTTGAAGCAACCTGGATTTTCACAAACGGAAAAATGGACCATCGCGCACGGTAACACAAGAAAAAATACACAAAAAGAAATGCATTGAGAGGTTAACGGTTATTAAAAAAAAATCTTTTTTGTGGTCTTGCTTGGTTGATACAGTATAGCAGTCCCTTTTCATTGGATGGTTCTCATGCTAAACTGTTTTCACCTCTCATCAAGATTGTGAGATCTCACAATGAACCTGTGTCCCAGTCAATAAAAGTGGATTTTCATACAAGGGCGTTTCTCAGGCACCAAACAAAATAACTGTAAAACCTGGTAGTTTTGAGCGGGGGTTTAAAAGAATGGCTCTCACTACTGTGCAGTTGATCTGGGGATAGGTAACGAATCTAGATCAGGAGTCTTGAACCCTGGTCCCAGAAAGACCCCAATCCTGTCATTATTACAGGTCACACTAAATCACCCACTCTTCAAACATTAGAAACACTTGTTTAGCTACTTGATCAATTAAGGAAGTTATGTTTTGATAAAGAGAACATTGGTCCTTTGTTTCATCTCTCAATTACGTAACTGAACACACCACCTATTTAACTGATCAATTTCAGGAGGCCTGGAACAAGGATACTGAGATCGCTTAATTGCTGCCTGTAAGAGGTCCTGGACTGCACTGGGGCGCTGCGGGACCAGGGTCGGAGAACCTGCTCTAGATATTATGGGTCGTTGCTCCTCAGGCACAACTAAAACAAGACCGGCTCCTTGCAGCTTCTGCCAATCAGTACATTAACTGGGGCTCCTAATAGCTGAGCTCTTCCCTTCTTGGCACGGTTCGATCCAAACTTTGTGCCGGACGGCTCCGAAGAGCCCGATGGCATGGCAGAAAGCGGCAGGTGCCAGTTCTAGCCAGCAGGAAAGCTCGGCTCCAGCGGGAGTCTCCAGTCCAACGCTGGGGAAACGACTGGAAGGCACCGCCTCAGCAATCTGAAGGGAGGTCACCGGAGGGCTTTCAAAAACAAAAGCAGAAGAACAAGGAACCCCCTACCCCCACCCCCAAAAAAAAGGCTGGATTCTGAAAAAAAAAAAACCCCGATCCCCAGCGTCTGCCCGCCGTGAACTGGAGAGTTCCTGGAGGACGACTGCCTCCCGCGTCCCTACAGGGCAGGGAATCCCAAACTCCACGCCGGCCCCCCGGCGCCCCCCTCAGGACACGTTGGTGATGGGTTTGTACTTCTTGAGTCTGGTCCACTGGCCTGTGGAATAGTTCATCTCGAACACCGTGTCCACCAGCATGGTGGTGCTGCCTGTGCCGTCCGCCTTTGGCAGCACCTCCGTGTGCTCGCTCAGCTTGATCTGGATGATGTCGCCCTGCTCGGGGCACGGGTTCTCTGGATGGGACGAAGCAGAGGGGGAGGAGGAGGAAGAGGAAGGGGAGGGAATGAAACATGACACTTATCTCCTGGAAACAAAGGGCTCTCTTTTCGTACACCTTGTTTAGCCAATGTGGCAAAACCAGCAATGTATGCAGGATCAGGCCATGCATTGTTACGATGCTCCCAAAAGCATCGATGGGGCGGAGCGTTGGCTCTGTGGCTTAGGATCTGGGCCTGTGGGTGAAAGGTTGCTGGTTCAAATCCCGCAGCCAGCAGAGTAATCCTACTCCGTTGGGCTCCTGAGCAAGACCCTTAACCCCACTACTCCAGGGGCGCTGTACAATGGCAGACCCTGCGCTCTGACCCCGGGCTCTCTCCCTATCTGTGTGTCTCATGGAGAGCAAGCTGGGGTATGCGAAAAGATAATTCCTAATGCAAGAAATTGTAAAGGGTTAATAAAGTAATGTTAAAAAATAAAAATGCCAAAATGTACTGTAATATTACACCAATTATGTAAGCATGACTTTTCGTCATGCGAAATTTCACATTCGAGGAATGAATTTCTTTTGTATAACAAGGGGATGGGTGTCTGGATTATAGACTATCTGACCTGCAGGGCACAGTTTGTACGGCTACAGAGCTGTATGTCCCAACAGGTTGCTAGCAGTACTGAGGCTCCACAGGGGACTGTCCTTGCTCCATTTCTGTTTACTTTTTACACCTCTGACTTCAGGTACAACTCTGAGACATGTCATCTGCAGAAGATCTCGGATGACTCTGCAATTGTGGGGTGTATTAGTGAGGGGAGGCAGGAGGAATATAGGAGCTTGAAAAATCAACATTATGGAGTGGTGTCATCTTAACCATCTCCAGCTAAACACCAGCAAGACTAAAGAAATGGTCATGGACTTTAGAAGGAATAAGTCTCCGCTGAACCCTGTTTCCATCCAGGGTGAGGACATAGAGGGGGTGCAGTCCTACTTGTACTTAGGGGTACACCTGGATGATAAGCTGGAGTGGCCGGTTAACACTGACACCTTGTAAAAGAAAAGTCAGAGCCGACTATTTTCTTAGGAGACTCGGGTCCTTTGTTGTGTGTGGAACACTGCTACACATTTTTTATGAATCAGTGGTGGCAGCGGCCATCTTCCACGCTGTGGTGTGCTGGGGCAGCAGCGTCCTGACAAGAGATGCAAATAGGCTCAATAAACTTATCAAGAAGGCTGGCTCTGTGTTGGGGATGAGCCTTGACCCCCTGGAGGTGGTGGCTGAGAGAAGAATGCTGACCAAGCTCACAGCCATCATGAACAACGCCTCTCATCCGCTTCATGGGACTGTTACTGGGCAGCGGAGCACATTTAGCACCAGACTGCTCCAGCTACAGTGTTCAAGGGAACGTTTCCGCAGGTCTTTCCTCCCGGCAGCTGTCAGGGTGTATAATGCTGCCCTAGGCTAGGACTGTCAGCCCTTCATTTGCTCGTCTATGGACAGCATGTTGCACCATTGTACTTTTTTTGGACACTCAATCTGTACCTATGCATGTTTTGCACATATTTTTTTGTTTTTACAGTGACTATGAGCATATTTTGCACACACATATGTATATATTTTATATTTATTTTGTATTACTGTACGTATTTTAATTTTCCGTCTATTCTGATGTCTGTTTTTACTTGTCTTGTGCTGGGCTGCTGTAACACATCAATTTCCCTTCGGGATCAATAAAGTCTTACCTATCCATCATCAGCTATATTGCCAGAAAAATGAAAAATATAATTTTTCATCCTGCTATTAACACTACATTCTACAGGATCAGTTAGGAAGAAGCCATCCATTTAGTATTAAACATAGGAAATACATTAACCCAAAAGATTGGAAAAGGAAACCACATTAGCCTCTTGATAAAAATAATTTAACATTTGTGCAGACAGCAAATTAAACCCTTACTGTCCGAGTGTGGTGTAAGAGATCAGCCTGGCTTACAGAACACAGGGATAAAAAACAACTCCAATACCTCTGGATCCTGCCATGAACCCCAAAATGAGGGCCTTCTCAGGTCGTGTAACCTTGTTTGCCGTCTTAAACATTTCCTGGGCGGCGTACATCTGTTCTCGCTGTGAAAGGCAGGAGTGGAAGCACATTTATTACATGAAAAGCAAAAAAAGACAATTCAGGGAATCTTATCTGACTGTTTATGTTTAAGAATAAAATGAATCAATATGAATAAGTTACGATTTACGGAAAGACTTCAAAACTTCGAATCATGACCGAAGAAGTTAATCAACAAAGGCAAAATGGCATAAGTACAATTTTAAAAATAGGTTATCACTGTTTTCCAGCTATTGAGTGGAAACGTTTACATTTCTACATTTAGAAAATTATTTTATTTAAAAAAACAAAAACAAAATATATCTTTAGAGCAACAGATGGTTCAGAGAGGAGGCCATTCAGCCCATCTATAGAGATAGGTAATTAGCAGGTAATTGAGACGAGGATCTCATCCAGCCTTTTCTTTGAAATAGATCTTATAATTAGTCACACGGCCACTGCTGGGGAGAAGAGGCGGAGCCGAACTCTGGTTGGCTGAGAGGGAAAGGGGGCGTGGCAGCCCAGTATAAGGGGCCAGACTCACGGTGAGCGAGAGGCTCTTTTTGGGTTGTGGCGGCTGGGGAGTCTGTTGCTGTGCTGTCTGAGCCAGCGGGGGCTGTGTCTGGGGCTCCTGCTGTGTGGCCGTCGAGGCTGCAGGCGGTGTGCTGATTGTCGGGGTGCTGGCGGGGGTGGGCGGAGAGGTCGGGGCCGTGGGGCTGGTGCTGCTGTTGTACATGGGCGTCCTCTGCTTGAACTGGCCGGGCAGCGTCGTGCTGGGCGGGGCCAGCTCATCCGACTGCCGGCTGGCCTGCAGAGTCTCCCGCGCTGAGCCACCTGCGCTGGCTGAAGAGGACACAGGGACAATTAACAGACCAGAAAAAAAAGAACAACAAACTCACAATTCTCTAAATATTTGTAAGACTGCAGACTGTAAGACTTACGAGTTGCTTCAGTTACTTTCTTATCCTTTGGGCAGCTGTAAAATTTTAACTTGACATGATGATACAGAGTGTTGCATTAACCTTGCACTGCGTAGCATACCAAATGTTTTTTTTTTACAAAATACAGACCTTAGATTTGAGAAAGGGTGAGGACAAAAAGAAAACGGCAAACAAATATAAAGATTGCACATTGAAAAAATAATAAGGGGTTATTTTAAATTTGCCTTCTTCTGAAGAGCAGTGCTAGCACACTGACACTACTGAGATTTACAGATTTCTTAATAATAAGATAAGAAAAATAAAATATTTAAGATTTAATTTCCTGTATGCTCAAGTACACTGCTCCAAAGACCTTCAAAAGTCAAAACAGTCCTATATATTGCGTGACAAATCCGTCTCTGGATCCACACGGATTCTCCACATCCTCCAGAGCCATCCCACACACAGTGCGGCGGAATACCCACCCTGTGTTTCGGAGCTGGGAATGTACGAAGATGACGGGACCATACTGGGAGTGGCAGGCAGGTAACTTGTAGAAGGTAATGCGCTCTCATTGCTTAAAGCACCAAGTTTCTGAAACAGACAGAAATAACACAGAAGAGCAGGGATCAGACCACAATACAGGTTTATGTAAAACCGTACGTATCCTTGCTGTGCATCAATTATCCCCATGAGGATTAATGTAAAAGATTGCTTTAGGCCCTTGGTCTCAGACATATAGTCTACACACTGGCATAAGCAGCACTGCGGTACTTATAATTTTTCTTACTTCACTAGCATGGCATGAGCATGAAGGAAAATAGGAAGTACATTCATGCAGTACAAGAATAAAAAATAACAAAGACTCATCTTCTTAGGCTCTGCAGTACTGTACAATAGTGGTGAGGCTTTCTTGGACTTTAGCCTGGCAACTGTCTTTTTATATATTTATTTCATGAACAATCAAAAACTAATTGAAAATTGTTTTTTATTATTTTGGTTTGGGGAGTTTTGCTGATGCACTATAATGCATGAAAGGCTATAAATAACTCCTGGAGAATATGTCTGGCATATTCATGATTAGAGTATGATGATGCACACAGCACACTACACATTCAATTATTAGGATAAAGGTAAGACAGTGTGTTGAAAGTAGTGTCATGACTTTGTGTCATTTTCCACTTGCCACTTTCCATCTTGAGCTCCGAAGCTCCGACAATGTAAAGTGTATCCCGGGGAATCCTGGTAAAAGTAAGCCACCAGCGTGTTTGTGCCGCAGTGCCTTACCGCTGTACCACCTGTCCTTCTACAACACTGTGGACATAACATCTGCAGCTACTTCAACACCAGCTGTTTCAAACACTTTTGCGTCTTCCATTCAAGCAGAACAGTTCTGTAAGTGAGAAGTCTGAAAGGATGGCGGGCACAGTGGGAGAGGTGGGCACAGTGGGAGAGGTGGGCACAGTGGGAGAGGTGGGCACAGGTGGGCACAGTGGGAGAGCTGGGCACAGGTGGGCACAGTGGGAGAGCTGGGCACAGTGGGAGAGGTGGGCACAGGTGGGCACAGTGGGAGAGCTGGGCACAGGTGGGCACAGTGGGAGAGCTGGGCACAGTGGG